CATACCATCTTGAGGTTGCAGAGCAGAAGGACCAACACGATGGATCTGTTCCCTGGTCCCTTTCCCCTTGGCATTGGTGGTATGGAGGGAAGAACGGTGGAAACAGTCCTCCTGTCAGTGACCATCTTGGGTAAGCTGTTGTCCTCCAGATGAAATGTTACCCAAGTAGAGTCTGACACACTCACTATCACCATTTAACTAAGGGAGCAACTGAGGTTCAAAAAGGTGAAGAGGGGGACGCCTGGGTGGCTCGGTTGGACGACTGCCTCCGGCTCAGGTCATGATCTCGGAGTCCCGGGATCGAGTCCCACATCGGGCTCCCAGCTCCATGGGGAGTCTGCTTCTCCCTCTGACCTTCTCCTCGCTCATGCTCTCTCTCACTGTCTCTCTCTCGAATAAATAAATAAAATCTTTAAAAAAAAAAAAAAAAGGTGAAGAGGCTGCTGAAGGCCACAGAGTTACTGAGTGAAGAGGCTGGGATTGGAACTCAGTCTGACACCAGTGCTGACTCACAACCACCGCCCTCAGCATGCCCATGACCCAGGCAGGCCCGTAAGAGAGCTGGAGTGACGGAGGAGAGTTTGAGTTTTGTTCACACAGCAGGCCTGGAGACATCTGCAGAATTCTCTAGAACGGAGGGGCCAGGGGCTGGGCACCTTGAAGGCAGGCCAGCACTGAACTAGACCCAGCAAGGTGCTGTTGGCGGTCTGTGAGTGACAGGATGAAACCTTGGATGGGCAGAGGAGAGAGAAAGGAGTTCAGCGAGATGTCGAGGATGGAAGCGGGCAGCCCAGTTCCCTCGGTCTGCCCCTTCTCTCCTGTTGAGTTGCTTCACCACGAGTGGGGTCAAGGGAACCCAGGCCACAGTCCTCACTCAGCTCATAGCAAACGGAGGCACAGAAGGGACTGGGGACGGAATTAAGTATATACAGCACAGTGGGACTTGCAATTTGCTAATTAACAGCCCAAAGGCCAAATCTGGCCTACAGATGGGGGTTGTTGGGCCGGCTGCATTTTAAAAACATTTAAAAATATTTTAAAATGGAGAGATCCCACATGAACCAATTTCTGGATTTCTTGAACACTGGAAAACTCTGACAACACTGGAGCCCTGTCCCTCCAAGCCAACTCCTGGGGGGTGGTGCTAAGCAATGGCCTGTGTCTGTCCCCAGGTCCTCCCCCACCCCTGGGACAGCTGGTTCTGTCACTCCTGCCCCTGTGGTGACCTCTGTATCCGAGCTTGCACCCCGAGGAAGACCTGCGTTGCGACAGAACTGAGGTGCTGCTGAGGGAGCCCCATAGGCAACTGTGCGTAGAGGTTTGGTGTTCAGGAGAAAGAGGGGGTCAGTGACATAGACCCAGAAGTGACCATGGTGTGGAAACTGGCAGCCAGTGACCCAGTGAGGGCAGAGAGCATAAACAGTGTATGTGAGTCATGGTTGTCTAGAGAAACATTCTGTGTGTGTGTGTGTGTGTGTGTGTGTGTGTGTGTTGTGTGTGTATGATAAAGAGAATTATTTTAAAGAATTATTCACACGATGGGGACAGTCAAGTTTGAAATCTGTAGGTCAGGCAGGCAGGTTGGAAACTCAGGTGGGAGCTGATTGTACAGTTCTGAGGCAGAATTCTTTTCATTTCCAAGAAAACAGTTGTTCTGCTAAAGGCCTTGAACTGATCGTGCGAAGCCCACCCCCATTATCGATGGTCAACTCCTTTATGTCAAGTCAACTGACTGTAGACATTAACCACATCTACAAAATACCTCCACAGCAACTCTTAGGCTAGTGTTTGATTAAGTATCTGGGTACTGTCCCCTCACCAAGTTAACACACAGCTAACTATCACCCAGCAATAAGGGCGGGAGGTCAGGGAAGTGAGCCTGGGAGAACTTGCTATTTAGGAGTGGGCAGGGGAAGAGGGTGAGTGGGCAGGGGAGGAAGGTGAGTCTGGCAGTTCTGATGGGGAGAAGCACGGGGAGGTGTGGCACCAGTGATTGCAGCACAGCGACCAGAGGGTGCTGGGTGTTGGGTGCTGGTGGGGGATACAGCTGGTAGAGCAGTGTTTGGGAGACCCAATGGTGACTCTGGGTCTTTCACGATATTTCATAATAAAGGGGGTAAACTGAGGAACAAGGAAGAAAGGTTTCCTTCTGGTTTGTGCTTTTTGTAAGCTAAACCAGGAGAAGGAGCCCTGTTCTGAGAGAAAGAGAAAGGAAGCAGAAGAAAACCAGGAAGAGACGGATGGTTAAGACTCCTGTTGTGACCAGAGAAGACCTTTTGCTCAGGGATGGGGATGTGGAGAAAGCCCAGCCCACACATGGGGAAGCAAGGACATCAGGGCAGAGCTCTGGCTGGAGCAGGCAGGGTCAGGAACAGTAGTGCTCCTGACAAAGGCCCCTTCTTTCTTACCTGAGATGCTTTTTCCAATCCCCTCTGCATCTCCTTATGCCTCCTTCAGGCTGGCCTCCAGGTACACCTGCAGTTCTGGCCCCCTTGGCCTAGGCTCCCGTCTGGGGAGGACCCTAGGCTTTCCCCACTCTGTGCTCTGCTCCTGGTCCCGGCTCCCCCTGCTCAGCGCCCTGCCGGGGACTGAGGTGGCTCTTTCTGATCTCCACTCGTTCCTGGTGGGTGGCACTGGACAACAGGCGACCCGAGTCCCAGGAGAGCAGGAACACACCGAAGTGTGCATGTGCGCGCGCGCGCACACACACACACACACACACTCTGGGAGGAATTTCATTTCCAGTTTTTAAAAAGCAACAGAGTGTCACCTGGCACATTGAGATCATCCTTACACTTACTTGGGGCTTACTACTGCTTTTTATTTTTAATCCCTTCTGGGTGCATCACCACAATGCCCCCCCCCCCCGCCCCCACCACCCCTTAAGGCCTCCAAGGGCTTAAACCAGCCGCTCAGTCCTCTGCACTCACTTTTCAGAGCTCAGGGGAGGCGGCACACCAGGGGGGATCCAGGGAGTGCTGCTCAGGAAGGGCAGGTCCAACAGGGGCGTGTGCGCCCGCTGGCACCCTTTTGTGCCGCCTGGAAGCACAAAACATGCCGGAACACGGAAAGAAAGGTATTTGCCGGAGTGACTCAGATATGTTCCAGCATTTTCCCACAGGCTCCTGCATATCCCAAAATAACTTGGACTCTGGATCCTGTTTCCTGGCGTATGATTGCATTTGTCTAATGTTACAGAACAGTGGGCAAACAGGCCATACTCACCCAGGAGCTGCAGGAACGCACAGCCCACAGTGGGGCGCCGTGCTGCACAGAGACTCAGCCCGTAAGAAGCATGGACTCACCAGAACCATCCAGACCACCTGATCAGGGCCCATATTTCATGGGAGGGGAGGAGGAAGTCCCGGAGAAAGGAAACAACTAGCCCATACTCAACACAGCCAGGGACTCTAAACGCTCAACTATTATAGATGCTCATTTTGGAATAAATGTCAGTTGAGCCTTGGAAACATAAGATCTTAAGTCAAAGGGACTTTAAGTCTCTCCTGGTCATCCAGGGTACCTCTGTGCCCAGGTCTGGACAACAACACCGGAATTAGGAGGTTTCAAAATGGACTGCCTCAGGGAATTTACAGTCTTCTTCAGGAAATGACTGGAGATATTCCAACAGATAGAAGACAATTGGGCCCTGGCAAACAGACAGAAGGTGTGGAATTTGGGGGAGGGAAAGTCAGAAGGAAGGTACTGTCCAAGGAGGGCAGGTTTCACAAAATGGAGGGCTTAAGGGGGAGCAAGATCTGGACAAAAGGGGAGAGTGGCAACGGCACACTCAAGGGTGGGAATGTGCTGGAGCAGTGCAGACCCTTGGTGAGAGGAAGTGGGGGGTGCTCTAGAAAGTTCTGGAAACCAAGCCCAGGGACCTGGGCTGCCAGCATTGAAGGTGCGAGTAGCTTTCAGTGTGGATGCCAGTACTTGCTAGTTCCAAGTCATTTGCTTCATCCAGGAGACAGGAATTTCACAGGATTTTGACACCAAATACATATATATACACACATATATATATGTGTATACATGTATAAAATAAATGTATATTTATATATATAAAATGTATATGTATGCAAGTATGTATATATATGTATGTATGTGTATATGTGTGTGTGTGTGTGTGTGTGTACACACACACACACACACACACACACAGACTTAGTGTCTAGGAAGAGATGAGAGGTTATTTTCAAATTTCTGTGATCCTTAGATAGCCCTGTTCCTCTTGGCCCCCACAGCCCACTTGGTGCTAAAGATGGTGCAGGGGCGCCTGGTGGCTCAGTCGTTAAACGTCCGCCTTTGGCTCAGGTCATGATCCCAGGGTCCTGGGATCAAGCCCTGCATCTGGCTCCCTACTCAGTGGGGAGTCTGCTTCTCCCTCTCTCCCATTCGCCCGCTCATGCTGTCTGAAATAAATAAAATTTTTAAAATAATAATAATAAGAGGGGCACCTGGATGGCTCAGTGGGTTGAGCCTCTGCCTTCGGCCCAGGTCATGGTCTCAGTGTCCTGGGATCGAGCCCCGCATCGGACTCTGCTCAGCGGGGAGCCTGCTTCCCCCTCTCTCTCTGCCTGCCTCTGCCTACTTGTGATTTCTCTGTCAAATAAAAAAAACTTAAAAAAATAATAATAAGAAGAAGAAGATGGCACACTGTGGTGAGACTAACATGGCCTTTATGTCTCCTGGGGCTGGATTCAAATCCTGTCTCTGCTCCCAGCTCTGCGGGCAAGTCACTTCCTGTTGCCTCACCTGCTTCATGAGGACATTGAGAATAAGTAACATTTGTTACATTCCACACTCCACATGTCTCAATTTATTTAATCACTTTCCCCCTTTTTACAACTGAGGAAACAAGGAAGGAAAAGGCTATGGGACTTGTCCGCTGTCCCAAGCTATAACTGAACCCAAGAGTTCTGATTCAAGCCTGTGTTCTCCACAGCGATGCTCTCTAAAGGGCACCTGGATGATGACACAGCAGAAGCCTCCCCCGGCCCCCGCCAGATACTCAGTGGAATCTGTGCCCCGGTGCAGAGACCAAGACAGCCTAGTTAGTAAGAACCTGCAGCCAGCCCTATAGCCAACCTCTTGCCCCCATACAAGACCCAGGGACCACCAACACAGGCCACAGAATTCCTACCCAGACAGCCAGGCACCATCTGATTTGGATGACTAAAAATCTAACCACAGTCAAGAGATATCAATGTTTAGTGATAAAAATAACATCAGTCCGATTCACAACCACCCAAGGAAACTTCACGTTAAGGTCCATTGGGCATAGATGCCCAAATCACAAGGAGAAGCAGTCACGTTCTTTATCTTTGGTTCCTTTAAAAAAGTCCAGTAGAGGCCTTTCCCCTTTTCATACGTTCGGGTTTCTGGAATCAATGGTGTGTCAGCAGCAGCCAGCTTGTACTCCCCGCCTGAGTTCACCCAGGAGCGATGCTGGCAGGTTCCCATCGGGATGACTGAAGACTTTCTCAGCGGGCTAAGAGTGGCGACTCCAGGAGTGTGTATTTTTGTATGGCCCAGTCACACACCAATATTAAACTCAGTACAGTCATGAGGAATTCGGCACGGGGGCTCTACATCAACATGCCCTCTGGGGGTTCCAAGTTCTCAAGACTGTCCATTTTTTATTTACAAGCAATTAAAACACCCAAATCTCTGAGTCAGAGGCTGGTGGTCCTCCCCAAGCTTTGAAAAAACACTGGAATACGAAGAAGTCTCTTTTGCACCCAGTGGCTTCCAAGTGTACCCGATCCTAACCCCAGTGGCTTCTAGGAACCCAATCCGAGAAGATACACCCAGCCTGGTGTGATGACTCAGAGAAGTGTCAGATAAAGATGACCCCAAGACTCTCACAGAACGCATTCTCAACCCCAGCGACCTGGGCCGCACACAACACGTGGGTCAGCCTCGGGCATCACAAGGGACTGGCTTTCGTGTGTGCGTCTGAACCCTCCCAGCCCCTTGCCAAGGCCTGAGGGCGGCCTGAGGCCAGGTGAGCAAGGATGCTGCTGGGGTGGCCCGAGCTGGGCCAATCCGAACGCAACATTCCCATCCCCTGGGTGCACAGCCCCGAGTCTTCCTGGTTCACAGCTGTGATCTGAGGATGAAACGTGGTGGTCACTTGTTCTCTCAAAAGCCAGACCCAGAGAGAGCTCATGGATCCCAGAGCCGGCCTGCAAACGCAGCTGCCACGGACTGTTCCTGAAGCCAGTGAGACCCAGACTTGATGCTGCCGCTCCTCCAAACTTCAGAAATCACAAAAAACCATCTTGAGTTATATTATTACTTTATTTTCCTTTTTTTAAATGTAACATTAAAGTCATCCAACATACAGATACTCCTAGCGCTCCTTGCACATTTTATCTAAAGTTAGCTATTGTAGCTATGAGATGAAGAGAATCATCCCATTAAAAGGGCATTGTTTCTGGAAAATGGGTTCCATATTTGTGCGATGGGACATCAACACCCCACCCACCAGCCGAAAACCTCCTTCGGTCCAGAGCCGCACGAAGACAGCTTACAACCACGGCTGACACGTGGTGCCCGTGTACAGAAGGCCCCAACAACAAGCAGCAGGGTTAAACTTCTGAAACAAGCAACTTCTTCATTTGTACAGAGTAAGAATACAGGAGAAAAGCATCATTTTCCTTTTAGCCCTTTAATTAGTGTGTTTGGCCTCCACCCAAGTTACTGTGTACCAAGCGCCTACGAATAGTAAAAACAAACTGATTTAAAGTCCCTGAAATGCATGCAACTTAAAATTCCCTAACACACACCAGCAGCTCCCAGCGCCGGGGTCTGCTGCGTGTGGCGGGGACTACGGGGCAGCTGTGTTTCCAGCTGTGTCTGTCGTGTCGGTGCTGCCTGGGTTTGCAGCTGCCGCTTCTCTGGCTTCCGGCTGCTGGCTTTCTGTCTGCGGATCTTCTCCATTTCCCGCACTTTCCTTATTCTTGTCTGTTGCCATGGCACCCATCTCCATGATCTCCTGCAGTGGCCGATCGGTTTCAAGGGCATGAGGCTGGAGTTCATAAACCTGGACTTGACCTGGGACATCTATTGCTTTCTGTTCAAGTTTCTCCAGGATGGTCTGAACCTTCCTGACACCATCTCTCCTGGCCTGACGGACGTCAGCTCGTCCTTCGGGGTCTACCGAATCCAGCGCCAGCAGCTCTTTGGTCAAATACTCTTCTATCATCAGGTACTTCTTGTCCGTCTTCTTGCCTTCGAAGTTGTCCACGGCCTGCTCCAGCCCCTGCACGTTCTGTAAGATGGCCTCCACCTTCAGCACGCCCGGGTGTTTGGGGGGCGCCTCCGCTTCCGCTGGTTTGGGAGGTGTGGCTTCCGCAGGGGCAGGGCCGGGGGCTGCCCCCTCTTGGGCAGCCACATTCTTGGGGGGCGGGGGGACAGCAGGCGGGGTGGGGCTGGGAGGACAAGGAACCGGAGCTGCTGGAACCTTGACTTCCACCCTCTCCGAGGCGGGTGGGGGCTTCTGGGCGGCAGGTGCCGAGTCTGCCTCCTTGCGGATCACCTGAATCGGGACGTGTCCAGGAAGGAGATCTGGTCCAACTGGGCCTGGCTTGCTTTCAGGTTTGTTTTCAGGTTGGGGAACAGGTGAAGATTCTCGATGAGTCATGGGCTGCTGAAAAGAGGCAAGGACACAAAGATATTTTTAATACCCGATTGAGAGTCCCAGGCGGTTGTCTGTGGCGCGCACTACTGACTAGAAAGAAAGCTGGGGAATGGCTTTAACAACAGCAGAGATTTTCAAAGTCAACCACATACAGTTACAGAATGAAAACATTCTGATCACGTACGGGACCGAACCACTCATTTCCATTTGTCACCCTGGACTGTGCGTCTGTTACCACTCACTGAACTTTTCTGTAGATGGTATTCTTAGGGCAACAAAAACAAAACCGATAGTTTCCAAAAATGAACACTTGCTCACCGAAACCTCGCGGACTGCCGAGCTAGCTTAGCTCCAAGCAAAGTCCTGCGTGACTCAGAATCTTGGCGGGGCAGCCGCGGGGGAGTAACTGCCACAACCTCTCACTGCCGCCAGAGGGACCGTCTCTGTTCCGGGGAGGACAGTCCCACATCCTGTTTCGGAAAAGGTATAATCTACTCTTTTTAAAAATCTATGACAGCCTCATGGTTTCTGCCCAGACTGATGTATTTTTCTGAGAATAAACATGATGCCCAAAATAGTTAGCTCTGGGAGGATGTCGCGGGGCTCCTCTGCGCCAACACTCGGCCATGCGTCCCCGCAGCTGACTGCTGGCTACACGGGCTGAGATGCTTTTTAAGGTAACTACAAGTGGTAGTTTCTAGAATGAGCTGTACTTAAAACAAATATCTTGGTTCTCCCAGCATTTCAGTGAACATCTCACCCCCCCTTTCCTGATTGAAGTGGAGTGGACAGACGACACTGTTAGTTTCAGGAGCACAACCTGGTGACCCGACAGTTCTACACGTCCCGCAGTGCTCACCTGAGTAAGCACAATCACCGTCCGTTCTCTTGATACTGACCGTATTCCCTACACCTCACTTCATCCCTGAGACTTTGTGACTGGAAGTCTGTACCTCCTAATCCCCTTCATATTCTGCCCATCCCCCATGTGCTTCCCCACTGGCAACCATCAGTTTATCCTCTGGATTTAAGGGTCTGCTTGGGGTGTTTTGGTTTACTCTTTTGTTTTGTTTTTTAGATTCCACGTATGAGTGAAATCTACGGTATTTCTCTTTTACCAACTATTCACTTCACCTGATACCCTCTAGGTCTATCCATGTTGTTACAAATGGCAAGAGTTCATTCTTTTTCGTGGCTGAGTAATATTCCAGTGTACTACGCACTCCACATCTGCTTAATCCATTCATCTATCGATGGACACTCGGGCAGCTTCCGTATCTTGGCTATTGGGAATAATGTTGCAATAGACACAGGGGTGCATATAGCTTTCCTAATTAGTGTTTTTGCCAAAAGTGTTTTGCCAAGTGTTTTGCCCCTTTAAAAATTTCACGCATCCTCATTTCATCAACTGGGGAATAAGAGTTAGACTACATGATTTCTAAAATACTCCCAATTTAAAATACTAAATTCCGCTATAATGTTGTTAAGTCAAATCTTTGCAAACCTTCAAAAAGAGATCTTTGAACAAATGCTAAAAGGGAGGGCACCACAAACAAGGGTAAGGAAGAAAAAGACTAAATATTGTTTCACTGATTCTGGGATCTATATGGGAAAGACAGGAGGGGAAGCATTTCCGGCTCTGCACATGGACATGCTTTCCTGGGATTCCTGAGCCCAAGTTAGGATCTGGCTGCTACGTAGCCATCTGAGTGCCAAGAACCCCCTTTTCCACCAGACCTCTTTTGCCAATGTGGATGTCCTCAACTCTGGCTCTTACCACTCAGGGACCAGCCATACATGTCACTTTGAGTTTTAAAATGATCTCTCAGTTTTAAAATGATCTCATGACTTTAGAAACTCTTAAAGAGGGGTTGCTCTACGGCTTGTATACTTTGAAAATGTCAAGGTCACGAAAGCAAAGGAAGTCTGAAGAACTGTTCCAGATTGAAGGAGACTGAAGAGAAAGGGTATCTAAATGCAGTGCTCATGATCCTAGATTAGATCCTGCAACGGGGAAACCGCTATTAAGGAGATTTGAAAGTGGACTGAGTATCAGATAACAATGTTATAAGGATGTTAAGTTTCCTGATTCTGATCATTGGATGGTGGTTATGAATGAGGTCTCTCTTTGGAAAATATTTCCTCAATTATTGATGGATAAAAGGGCACAATATCCACAATTAAATGTCCAACAAACAAACCACATGGATGATATGCATTGAAATAAACGGCAGAGCAAACAGAGCAAAATGTTAACAGTGAATGTGGATGAAGGGTATACTGGGTTTCTTGGTATGCTTCTTATAACTCCTCTGTAGGGTTGAAATTATTTCCAAATAAAGAAGCTAAAAAAAGAAACATAGGAGGATGTTATCACCATTTATAGTAAGACACCCCATGTATTTGCCTACGAGGGGCTCTCCTTCTAAAAACTGTGGCAGAGAACCAATTCCGCTGCTCACGTTGGGGGGCCCAGAGCTGCTCAAGGCTCTGCTACACTATAAGCTGTGAAAATGAATGACCTCCTCCTCCAGGATGTGCCCTCCAAGTTGCCCCTGAAGGATGAATAGGTCTGTGCCTGGGACTACACCAGGCTGGAAGGTTTCCCAGCCAGCCCACCCATCATCAGTCAAACAACGTGGTCCTTCACCCCCAAGGAGAGAGGTTTAGTAAGACAAGTCCCTGTCATTAAGCTCAGAGCTGAACAGGTAAGATGAACGCTTTTGGAATGCACAGAGTAACCCACACCCAGCCATGAGGGCCTGTGATGGGATGCCGTGAGGAGGAGGAGGGGAAGGAGGAGGATTCACAGAAGAGGCAAGACTGGCTGGTCCCTCGGAGGGCGGGGAGAACCTGGGCTGTGACGGCATTTCAGGGAGCTGTGTCAGCATGAGCAAAGGCACAGAGGTGGGATGAACAGAAAGGGCTTGCGGAGTGGAGAAGGGGTATCTGTGAGGAAGGAGACAAGCTGCCCGGAACACTAGAGAGAAGGCTGGGGCTGGGGTGTGGAGGGGTCTGAAGGGCCCTGAAAAAATGTGGAGGGCACGAAGGTGCCCGGGTCCCCGGTGTGTGAGTGACACTAGACACGGGGCCGAGCTATTTGTCCCCAGGCAGCGGAGGTTCTGTCCCGAAGGCAGCCTCAATGACCCATGAGCAGAAGCTGCAGAAGTACTGAGTGTTCCCAGTACCCGTCCTGCACTTCTGCGCATGACTGGCCAATTCCCAGATCTCACTCCCCCGAGGAACACACGTGTGAGCTAGTTAGGACCGGCGGAGGGCCCAGGGAGCCTGCACATTGCTCCTCGGGCCCTGGAGAGCCGCTGCCGGAGCCAGGCTGTGGACACCGACTCTGTACCTGAGGCCTGTCGACCACGGTGTGCACACGGTGGGGTGACGGCGAGTGCACTGGCGTGCTGCTCCTGGCCGGAGAGCCCTCCCGGCTGGATGCACCCCGGACAGGGGACCGGAATGGGGATGCTGCTCGCATGGGCCGAGGCTCCCAGTCATCCCCTGGGACCCGGGGGTACATCGGCTGGTAGGTCTGGTATTCACCCTGCTGAGCTGGGTAGTGGGTCTTCTGGGCTTGGTGGAAGGAGGGCTGAGCCGCTGGCCGGGTGACATTCTGCTCGTGTATCACAGGGATGGGGATATAGCCCCGGGGGAGCTGATGACTGCCCAGGCTGCTCCTGCCGGAGGAGGAGGGCAGGCTGGCCGAGGAGGACGAGGACGAGCAGTCCGAGGCAGCTGGAGACTGGGATTGCTGCAAGACAGAGAGAAGAGGCACGAGTGACTCTCTGCGCTGGTGCCCCAACCTTGCCTCCTTCATGTGCCTGCTCAGGGTAACACATTCGGACCTTTTACCTCAAACCTTTCCATCTCCAAAATGTACCACTAGCACTCAGGGCTCTAGAGCCAAGGGGCATTCCAATTCTTGCCAGCTCAATAGCCTCTTTAGAATTAATTAATTAATTAATTAGAGCACATAAAAGTGGAGTTGGGGGGCAGAGGGAGAGGCAGACACCCCGCTGAGCAGGGAACCCCATGGGGGGGGCTTGCTCCCAGCACCCCGAGATCATGACCTGAGCCAAAGGCAAACACTTAACCGACTGAGCCACCCAGGCGCCCCTCGATAGCCTTTTGAGAATCTAAAGTATGGGAAAAAATGACTCGTTGTTCCTGAGCTGAAGATTCAGTAAGACCATCTGTGGCCATGCTTCAGCCTAGGACCGTGCACAGAAGTGTTCAATGCACTGCTTGTGTTGCTGGTACTCCTGCTGTTACTGATGTCACCTCTTTCTCTAACCCTTTCCTCATAGTCTACAGGGGATCGTGCTGGGCACGGGGAGCAGCACATCCTGCGTGGCCCGAAGCAGGCCAGCCCACGGACCACCTAGAAAAAATAGGTGGGTGTTTCCCCAGCTGGCTTCAAAGGACCCTGTTCAGATTTCTCTGATTAATGTGTCACTTCTGATTTTTACAACAAAAACATTACAAATACAGGTACTCCTTCAAGACAGGAAAAGAACAGAGCCAAAGGAGGCAAGGCTAACTCTGGGCACAGACACAGAGCAAGCATCCGTGCTCACCAACACTGCCAGGGGACACAACCAGACAGTCTGCAGATGGGAAAACCAGAAGGGCTTACTGCTTGGGAAACCTACTGGGGTCCACGGGCCCTCAAATCCCAGCTAAGAACTGGATTAAGAACTCTTTGGTGATTAGTGTACTGAAGCATGGGCGTCAGGCTTAAATAAAATCCTATCGTCGAACAGCTGACTTCCCTTCTCTACTCTGGGTCTCCTTTTCTTTTCCTTTTTTTTTTTAAGATTTAATTTATTTTTTATTTAGTTATTTGAAAGAGAGACAGACAGTGACAGAGACAGCGAGAGTCAGCACAAGAGGTTGGAGAAGAGGGAAAACCAGGCTCTCTGCTGAGCAGGGAGCCCGACATGGGGCTCAATCCCGGGACCCTGAGATCACAACCCGAGCTGAAGGCAGACGCTTAACTGACTGAGCCACCCAGGTGCCCCTTTGGGTTCCTTTTAAACCACGGGACACTGTGTGAGCAGGTATGCCGCCTCGTTTTCCTATCAGCACAGCTCCAAGCAGTCGTTTGTGACACGGAGAGCGGGAGGAGTACGGAGCAGCAGATCAGGAAGCCGGAGGCCAGGCTTCCAGTCCCAGAAATGCCGCCCCTCCCCCTTCATGCATTCGGACCAAGCAGTTTATCCTATCACACCTGTAAAATGCCCAGATGCCTGCATGACCAGCCCTGGAATACACCGGCTCACTCTCCTTACCTCAGGTCTGTGGGAGCCTGGGGGCTGGGCCGCCGCAGCTGCTGCTGCTACAGCCTGTCCACACTGTCTATCTGGCTGGGTGGCTTCCGCCACACCCCGCAGAGGTGACTGGGACCTCTGAGGAGCCTCTGTGGCCGCCTCAGTTCGGAATCGCTGTGTTCCTGGCTGGGGACAGACAAAGGAAGGGCGTGGCTGCCAGCCCTCGGTGCCTTCGTGGAGGACAGGAATGGCAATGTAGCCTGGTCGGAGCTGGGGGTACACGGCGTGGCCTTCCCGAGCGGGCAGCAGCCTGGGGCCCTCCTGGGAAGGGCCATTTGCAGAGGACGGTGCTTCCTGCAACACAGAAAGGAGAAACAGTCTGGTTAGGAACTGGGAAGAAAACACCCCAAAGAGGCAAAAACATGGTGCTAAGTGCCATCTTCCCCAGTGATCCTGGGCACCTCCCCCACCTCCGGCATCAGCCATGCCAGCTGAGCCCAGAGGGCGAGGCCGCTGGCAGGCACCCTCTGCGTCTGCCGGATACCCCCCCACTGCAAGGCTGGCGTACGGGCGGCAGCTTACGAGTTAGGGGCATCCAGAGGAAGGAGGCGAGCTGCCGTGTCCATTAAGCACAGGGAGGTCCCAATTTCCGAAACTGGTCGGACAGGTTTCTTTTATGGGTGACAGTTGGCAGCAGGATGTAGGAGAGCCACTGACTGCCCCCAAATCGGAGACGCAGATCAGAAGGCGCGAGGATGAGTCAAGTCCAACTCACTAAATTATTGCCGGCTTCCCCGCTTCCTCAAAGGTCCTAGCGTTTCCTAACAACACAGGGGTGCGCTGGACCCAAACACAGAACACAGCTTGGACATCCTTGCAGAGAGGCGGCAGTGGGGCGAGGCTGCCTACCCGGGGACATTTTCGGAACAAGCTGGAAGAAAGGGAGATACGGCACACATAGGCAGCGCAGCAGGAGAACAAATACGGAGGATGAATTATGCTGGTCCGATGATGCCAACAGAGGCTGCTCTGGCGGGGAGGGGCTGGGGTCCCTCTCGTGTCCTCTCAGGAAGTTGTCCCTTCAGCCGCCTGGCTATTTTGGGACCCTTAAGAAGGCCAAGTTCCAGATGTACCACAGAGAAAGATCTTGTTTCAGACAACAAGGCCGGTCAGTCCCTCACCGGGCAATGTCATTTCTCACCAAGGGCTGAGCAACCAAAGTCGGGGACCCCCAAGGCTTCCAGTCTTGACCCTCCTAGAGGGTCCTTTGCAGAGGAGGACTCTGAAACTGTGCCACCCACACACAGCCGGCTGGGTCAACGATGAAGGAGAACAATCCTTCCTGAAGGACGTATCTCTCCGAACTGCAAACAAATGCCAAAGCCGGAGAATCCGGGAGCGTGCAGGGTCTGCTTCTCACTGTCGCAGAACCAGTCACAATTGAGGAAAGCGGATTTGCATCGTGAGGGATCGGCCATTGTACTTTTGCCTTCTTTCTGTGTTTGTGTGCAACAGGCAGCGATGGTGGGGCCTGGAATTTAGCTCTTTCAGACCCTGTCAACTGCCTCCCTCCTGCTGCGCCCCTGCCCCGGGCCTCCCACACACAGGAGAGGCAAGGGTGTCGCTGTGTCCTTGGGGACACCAGCAGACAAGCACTCTCAGATTAGAATACCCACGTGTTCAGGGTGGCGGCATTATTTTAGCCTGCTTAGCTCTCAGGTCACCCAAGAGCAGGCCGTGGGTTCAGGCCTCCCATTCAGAAGCCAGTTCCTGCTGGGAGATGGGCACCAGGAGGGAGGCAGCAAGAGGCACCGAGGACACCCAGCGCTACTCAGTACCGACTCCTAACCCGCCATCTGGGCATGTGATCGCCTCGCCAGGGCGCCCTTCCTTCCAGCCTGAAGCAGGGGCCCAGACGAGTCCTGGGCATCTTCTCCGCTTGCTGCCTGGGGGCTCACCGTTCCCTCCCGGCCACATACAAAAGGCTTCAGCTATCCGTACAATCCTCGGGCAGGGCAGTTCGGAAGCCCTCGTCCACCAACCACCTCCTGGTGACCATCTAGCTACCCAGATGCCGGGTACTGTGGGCTCACCAGACCAGCCACGCACGATCCCTGCCAACTAGGGGCTTACAAGACAGTCTGAGACAGCAGGAAACACACAGGAAGCAAAACCGGCCAGAAAGCATGGGAGGCTTTGTCAATGGGGGACAGGCACCGGCTTTTCTAGCTAGGATGGGGCTGTCCTAGAGGGGCACACAATTGTGCTGTGCAGACCGCAAAGTGTCAAAGGAATCAAAACCCAAGGACAAAGCTAACTGACAGAAGATTCACAGCAGGGGCCACCCCGTAGGAAATGGGAGTCCCTGGGAGGGTGCTGAAACTTCTGGGAGGACGGAAGTGTTCTTTTTCTGCAAAGTGGTCAACAGGCAGATACATACGTGCAAACCTATCAAAGCACACACTTCAGGAACCCCCACACCGCCCAGCCCCTGCCGCATTCCACCCGCATGATCTGATTTTAACAGGGGCAGGCTGCCAACCCCACCAGGCCCGCACAGCCGGCTGTTAGCTGTGCCTCCAGCTCAGCCCCTTCCAGGGCCTGGAAACCTTAGATGGACCTGGCTGAGGCTTGGCTCCTCCTGGGGGAAGCCCCTGGATCCAGAAGGCATGGCAGGCCTGCCAAGAGTTGCACATTTTATGCATCTCACTGAATAGATTCTGTACAGCTACGAGAGAAAAGGGAAGGCAACGGCCAGAGGGCAGAAGGAGGGAGGAAGCACGAGTACTTCCTCCTGCCCAGAGGAGGTGACAGCGGGGCCTGCCTCCTGGAGCCAGTACGCTGCCTGGGTCTGGGAAGAGGTGCCTGGTCTTGATGGTTTGGTTGGTGGAGGAAAGCTGTGGTCACTGGCTGGATTCCCCAGCAGCAGAGGGAATGGGGACAGCACGTGAAGGTCAGTGCTGAGCTGACGAACGTAAGGCCACAGTGCAGAGGCCTCACATCCACAGTCCAAGGGCTGCTGACAAGAGAGGCCTCGGCAAGACAGAAGGAGCCGAAAGGAGAAACCCGGACACATGAGGAAAGGAGGGGAGGAGGCCGGGATGAGAGTAAAGAAGGGCAGGCAATGCAGGGGCTGACAGCCTGGAAAGGGAAGGGTGACCAGGGAGGGGAGCAGGAGGAGGAAATGGAGAGGCCTCCGTGGCTGGCAGGACAGCAGCAGCGAGGGGGAAGGGCCATGACCGAAACCGAGTCCTGAGCCTGGGGTTCCCGGGGCGATGATGCGGACGGCTGAAAGGGTTAAGGGCGGCTAGAGGCCCTGATGTGCTGTACTCTGGCTTCTGCGGGAGTTGACCCATTTAATAAAGAACCCCATGTCTCTCCACGAGTCTCACATCTAAAAGAATGCTCCCGTCCCATTCTGATTGGGGTTTTGTTTAGAAAAACACTGCTGGGGGTAAGCAGAAAAACCACATCGGCTTTACAGAGTGCGAGACTGAGCACTTGTACAGGAATAAATAAACCAGCAACGAAGCTCCCACCTAGACGAAGCTCCGGAAAAGGAAGGCTGACACCCCTCCCCCGTGAGTCTACGGGGCTCCCATTAGATTCCTCTCAGCAGCAGATGCTTCCGTGCTGACTAACCAGAAAGCACCACCCGAAAGGGTTCAATGGCCCATTCTGTCTTCTAGGGTGCTTTTCATCACAATCTAACAAAAAAAAGACACTTTTTTTAAATGAGGAAAATGGGGGCCTGGGTGACTCAGTAGGTTAAGCATCCAACTCTTGATCTCAGCTTGGGTCTTGATCTCAGGGTCATGAGTTCAAGCCCCTTGCCGGGCTCTAAGCTGGGCATGGAGCCTACTTTTAAAAAATTAGTAAATAAAATGAAAAAAGTAAAAGAGACAAATATTACAGTTCATGATTCTCGAAGAATAGAACACGCCTCCTCAATCCCCTAAGAAGTTCCAGCACATCTGGAAGCCTATTGGTTAAGGCCAGCATTCCCGATGCAGGACCCATGACTTGCCCCCTTCTGACCTCAGTGGGGACCAGGGACCGCTCCTGGTGGGGGGGCGCGAATGAGCCACGATCACGTGACCAGGCAGGCCCCCAGTGCAGGTCCTCCCCTCCTCATCACCTGCCCCGCAGTTTCTTTAGATATAATGACAGCACTCCAGGAACTCCCAGGGTAGCTCAGCTCATCATTATCTTGGGGCAAAGACGTCAGGAATCCATATTACAAGATCTGATTAGGAAACAAGTCTTTCACTGCTTATCTCACTGTACACTCATTTATAAAATGAATTGGTCCATTCTTCTCCCTTGCTTTGCACTACAGTAAAACCCTGAGATGTATCTCAGGGCACTCAACTCCATGAGATGGCAGGATAAAAAGCAGAGAAAATTACCCTAGATGAGCCAAAATATGCCCTGTTAAGTGCAAGGTACTATTATTAGAGAAGCCTGGGGTCAGACTCTTGAGCTTGGGTGAGACCTTGGACGTAGGCAATTCTTGCTTGCTTACGAGCACTCTTAAGAGCACCAGAGCTTTGCTGCTGGTTTTTAATAACAATGTGGGCACTAAGTGGGCAGCTAGGAGATGTGGAAAGAGACCGCGCTCAGTCCTAATCCTGGATCTGTTCCTAAAGATGTGTGTTACATAAGCAGCTCATAAACCCCTCTCTGGACCTTACTCTCCTTAGCTGTAAAATGAAGGCAAAGCCCAGATACTCCATGAAGCCGTGGTTCTCAAACTCGAGGTGGCACCAGGAGCACCCAGAAAATGCATAGACATGCAGACCCTAAGCCCAACCTGGACCACACTGAGAAACATTGATCCACATGAAGTTCTGTCTTGCTCTGGCATCTCCATGACGCTTATTCTAAGGTCCCCTATAGCTCTAAAAATCTACATAGAGCTCAGAAACAAGGAAAAGCTGACGTCACAGAAATCTAAAAATGACCACTCTTAACTGTGTTCAGTTAAATCGAAATGGAGGTCACTGGGATTCAAGGTGTCCCAATGTTTCATGTCCTAAGTGAAGAGGTGGCCACTGACCCCCAGAAGGACTCCTTGTGTTGTTGTTTTTTTTTTTTTTTTTTGGTTAAAGACTTATTCATTGAGAGAGAGCAAGCAAAGGTGGGAGGGGCAGAGGACAAGAAAGAGAGAGAGTGAGAGAGAGAGATAAAAATCTCAAGCAGACTCCCCACTGAGTGCAGAGCCCAACCTGGGGCTTGATCTCATGACACTGAGATCACACCTGAGCAGAAACCCAAGAAAAGGGTGCTTAACTGTGACACCCTGGCACCCCAGGACTCCCAGTGCCTTGAAAGCAGGGCAAGAACACCAGCCC